TCTTCGGGGCCCTAGCCTCCTCCGCCTTGCTGTTCATACCCATCTTCTTCGGCATATTGTCCGTGCGCTTTAGGGTATTGATCGTCTACGGCTGCGACGACGAGGACGACGATGATTGATATTCTCGACCTGCGCTCGATGAGGATGAAATACGTTAACTGGGACTGGTGCGTTCGTTCACAGACGAAGGAAGGACAATAACAAAAGGCGGTTACGGTTAACAATATAAGTGGGCCTTGTTTGGGCCTGTTCAGATTGCTCAAATAAAATGAATAACTCAATCCAATTCCCCACGGTTTTGGTCCAAGAAGACTCCAAATTATTTCATTTGGACTACGAACCGCAAAAGTAATGTGAGAGATAGCATTGGTGTCAAGGATGTATTAGGAGAGTCGTTGTATGGTGAGGGTGTCATATACAAATGATAATGAAGGTAAAATCTGACGGGAATCAGACAAATTGTGAGCATATTGAACCTCTTTGTTTTTGTTTTTATTTTTCCTTTTATTTGTTTAGTGACTTGGAGAGACTGAAATGCCTTTAGTTAAATGTTCACATGTAAGGTAGTTAATCACTTTTTAACATGACCCTAACAAAGTTAAGATATGCTCTTACTAAATACATGGCCCAACAAAATAATAATAAAAATGATTGTTCTTCAATCCAATGAGGTAAATGTAGCAACAATTAAAGTTTTGGGATAATTGCTGCAATTTGCCCATTGTGGTATATAATGAATGTCTACTAGGGCATGTTTCGTGAGTTTGATTATGTAGTTAGGTAGGAATCAGATTCATAATTATAGTGAAATGTTTGGTGATCTAAAAATAACATAGATTGAATTATGTCCAATCATACTAGCGCCGTGTAGTAGCACATTTCAATTAATCCAACCCCTCCAATGTAATCCAATTTTAACTCATTCCCATCTCTTAGCAGATAAATTTGTGTGATATATATATATATATATATATATTATGTGTGTGAGTGTGTTAATATGCCTATAGAGACCCTAAAGCCGAAACCGTTATCAAGGATAATGCACCTACTAATCCAACTCATAATATAGACGAGAGTGGAGTTGACCCAATGTTTTAATTTACGATTGACCCATAAACAAAAAATAACTAATTAAATGGTTTTTTTTTTTTTTTTGTATTTGATGATCAAACAATAGTACATTAAAATGGAGAATTTGAACTTAAAATTTCAAGTCTTGTAGCAATTTTTTTTTTTTGGTCGAAATCTCGTAGCAAATTAAATGCTCTTAAGCACTAGAGTTATAACTCCCCCATTTGGTTCAACAAATAAAAAAACAAAATTATAGATTTACACAAAAGGCCAAGCAAATCACTAATCACGAAAATTTAAGCATTCATTGACTTGCATCTTCATGCATTTGAATTAACAACTGAGACTACTATAAGAGACTTTGGAAAAACACAAAGAAGAGAGAAATTTTGTAAAAGAAGCCAAAATAGACAAAATTGCCCTAATTTATTTTTGAATTTCCTAAGGAATCATTTACATTTGATGTATTTGATTTGAAAGTTAAGAGGTTTTTTTGTTTTTGTTTTAAAAAGCTTTGCCTTTTTTCAAAAGTGAATTTTTTTTTATAGCTAAAACCTAAATTTACTGACTAAACTATAGGATTATTAATCTGCAAGTGTCATTGGGATTGTCAGTATTTTAATCGCATCTTAAGCACGACTATCATTAACTCCAAATGGACCAAATCTCTAATCTCACAAACTAATTAATATTCGTGACCAACAAATAATATAAATAAAAACCAAATTAATTATCCGCTAAAAAGTTCCAAATAGTAGCTCAGAAAATTCAACATACATTGGTCCCACAGATCCTTCTATACACGGTCCTGATTATAAACCGTCCATCACGCAAACTGGGCTCATCCAAATAAACGTACCCGACCCGCCGTCCTATTGTCTGCGGGCTACATGTCGGTCACGTGTAGCGAAACTCTACAGTGGTCCCCCACCTATACGATCGTAATTTCCTCCCACCAACCCTTTCTCATCAACGACACACACGTTGGTCCCACCATGTCACCCGCGGATGATTGGCTGAGATTTGATCGATTCGATAATGAGTGAATGACCACCAGTCAAAAAGCGTAAGCAAATTGACTTTTACGGATGACCCAAAAAAAACTTAAAAAAAAAAACACTGCCAACCATGCCCAATCGAGAAACACAATCCAAAAACGACACCTGTCCAAGAGATGCTCTGTTTTGGGCTAATGCGTACACTTATAACGTAGTATATATACGTAACCTTATACCGACTCCGACCGAATACTTGTCGTCCACACCATGTCAGACGACTCAGACCTGTCCCCGGCTCATGGAGATGTTCTCCGGTGTGGTGAAGGTCCTGCGGGATCCAGGACTGACTTTTCGTGTGGTCCCACGTTCAGAACAATTTAACGGTCCATATCGCACTTGGCTCATTCATTGAAATAAAAAGGGCGGGTCGTTTCAGAATTCACTCTCTTTCATTTGCATTAAAAAATATTTAATTGCGCTGAAATAAATTGTTAATCAACGTAATTACCCAAGACTAATCGTTAATGCGTTTAAAGATATCTACGCTGAAAACGATGTCGTTATGAACGAGAATATTAAACGCCAGCTTGGGGATGCGAGCGCACGGAATTTAAACCGAGGACGCGCGCATCCTAACTTTCTCTCCGAGCGAAAAAACAAAAACACTTCGCTAACCTCTAAACCGCCGTTAGGTATCTTTCCCACGCAAAACTTCTGAATTCCCTCCATCTCCCAGACAGGGCCCCACAACGTATCCGTACACGTCAGCAAACACTGCCCCGTCACGATGGCATAGTAATCTTCTTCTTATTAGAGGGCATAGGTGGGGCCCGCTGGAAAAGGAGCGTGTCGGGTGCTCAGCTCTGCAGAACAAACGGCGTCACTTTTGCTTTTGGTGCCTCTCTTCATCATCATCAACCCCACTGTGTCCCAGAGTGACAGTCTCATTAGCTTTTTCTTAGAGAGAGAAAGTGAGTGGA